CCCACACCCACACCCCACACCCACACCACCCACACCCACACCCACACCCCACACCCCACACCCACACCCACACCCACACCCTGATATATATAAATAAAATCTTCTAATAGAATGCTACCTTTAAGTATATAATCTAATTTGGCTAATTTGACATAATCATAAATAAAAGAAAAAAACTAGAAATAAGTAAATGAAATGAAGCAATAAGATCATTGATAGTTGATGGATAAATTGTTTTAGCTAATGCATATATTGTCCATATAAGTGAATATAAATCTTGATGTGAACATTTATTTTATTTATTTTTTTGTATTTAATTTAGGATTTATTTGATTTGATGTTCTTTTATATTGATTTTCACCAAATATTTCAATAAATATTTTTGTATATTTTTCAAATATAATTGATGATATATTAAAAACATGTTCAACACTTGATCGATTTCTGATCGAATTGAATCAGGTAAATTGGCCATATCTTCACATTTATGTAATTTATCAAAAAAAAAACAAATAATTCTAAATGATTAGCACTTTTTAATAAACGTGATATTGATATTGGATTATTCTGATTTGTTGTTAGATGTTTATATCTTCTACATGATACATATAATGAAATAGCTAACCAATGTAATTGATCACCTTCTAAAACATAATGTTTACGAATATGTTCATATGAACGCCATGCATCTAACTTTGTTTCCATATCTATATTTAAATCAAGACATGATTTTGAATATAACATTTCAATTAATTCATCATCTTTATTTGACATTTTAGCTTTTTTTTATTCTAAAATAATCAAAAATAAAACAAAATGGTTAACATTGGGTGTGGGTGTGGGTATGGGGTGTGGAGGTGAGATGACACTGAAGAGAGCTACCTCAGTGCCCACTCAGGATGTGAGTGTGGGTGTAAATCTGCATCTAGGCCTGTGTGTTGGTATTTCTTTCGCTCACACCCAAGATAGAGACGAAATGTTTTGGTTTTGCTAATTCATAAAGGGTGCAACAAATATCCATGTTTCCATTCATTTACGCAAATTGAAAAGAATCAGAAGGCCATCACTATCATCTTCATTATCATTAAAATGGACAAGAAAAATTTTAAACGATATTCTAGTGACACATCGTCGTCTACGACAAGTAAGCCAAATAAGTCATTCACAGCTGCAGCACCAACGATAGTTGTGAGTAGAAGAGCTGGGTGTGGGTATGAGTGTCTTTTTTTGTTGAACATCCACATATACACCCTATTAGAGCTGTAACAGTATCAAGAAGCGATGAATATTTATGTGTCTATTCTTATCTACATAAAACTGTGCATGGGTATAAATAGAAAGTTTTTTTTTTGTTTAATTTAGAAGAAGTCGATGACCAAATAAAGGTTATACCTTCAATAATAAGCTGTTTCGTTGCAATAGGATTGTTATCAGTGACTATTATGATCACATCAACGATGAATTTCTTTCTTTATCACCATCTATCGTTGTTTGGCATCAAATAAAATCACTTAGTATTATACTCAACCATTCAATTCAACTCATCTTTGTCTTTTTGCAAACGACTAATCTACGTACTCTGGAACTGCATTATTGATCAGAATATAATACTAAACGTTATTTGAAAGAGGAAAATTTAATTTATCTATTCGATGATATTTCTTTGTGCAGAATGCCTTTGTCAAGTGGCTTACGATAACTCAATCTTTTTCCTGTTTCGTGACAACCAAATTTGGTAAACATTGCCTATTTAATTGTCGAGCGACTTCCTCATTTGCAAGTCATTGAAGTGTCACATTTACTTATCAACAATCTTCCGAAATTAAAATTTCTTACTATTAATGGCGAAGATGAATATGATCAGCTTTATGAGAAACAATTGCATGATCTACAAAGTTCAAATACTCATTCTTTTCGAACAGAAATTCGTAACACAATAGATTAGGATACACTTTTTGTATGATTATAATAAAATGAAACTGCTAATATTTCTTTATTTCTTTGTACTTAGACTTGTTTTTGTGAAAGGATCATAAGAACTTTTCAACGTGAATAGAGCAAAACTTTTAAAATTTTGTTTCGTAAGTTAAATCAGATGAAAAGATCTTCTGTGTTTGATATTAAATTATACTAATATTCTTTATTAGTTGTACAATAGAATTTATACAAAAATTACTCCTACATGAAAACAATAACACTAATATTTGACCACAAGATATTTTTTATTATTAATAATCAATTTATTTCCAGTTACATTTTGATACCAAATGCTATTTTAACTCCTCTCCCCTTTATCATCTTGTTCTATTTCCTTTCTCACATATAACTGACCGAAAATAAACAACTTGAAATGTATTCTATTTTTGAATATTCTTACAATAAATAATTATATTATTTCAAATTTATCCTTATATATTAATATTTTAAAAGTTAAAACTTATTACAACATTTCATTGTTCAATAACAGTAACATATTTAAACTAGACCTTCACTCAAACTAAGCACGAGTAGAAAAGACGTCTGACTGCAGAATTTTCATAATTCTCATATATGTTCATAGTTATTTTTTACAATCTAATTCATCTATATTAATAAATGAAGATGGACATTGATTCTATATTAAGAAATTACCAGCTGTTAATTACCATTTATTTTTGTTCTTGCATCTTCCATACGGAGTCAAAGAAGAATGAATTTCAGATGTGCCCTACGCACATTCTCACGAGTTTGACAAGCTTTTTTGTGGGGTGTGGGTGAATCTCTTCTTTCTGGCCTGATCCAAACTCACCCACACCAAAATCAGTTTTTTCAGTGTAGAAACTCTTAGTTACAGCTGATAGTTTGATGTAAAAACCTTACAAGCATTTGTCTCATTACCATTTTGATGTAGATAAACATATATGA